AGAAACCCCATCTCTACTAAAAATACAAAATTAGCTGGGCATGGTGGCGCATGCCTGTAATCCCAGCTACTTGGGAGGCTGAGGCAGGAGAATGGTTTGAACCCAGGAGGCAGAGGTTGTGGTGAGCCGAGATCGTGCCATTGCACTCCAATCTGGGCAACAAGAGTGAAACTCCGTCTCAAAAAAATAAAAAATAAAAAACAAAAGGACCAGTGTGGTGTCTCACACCTGTAATCCTAGCACTTTAGGAGGCCGAGGCAGGTGGATTGCTTGAAGTCAGGAATTCAAGACCAGCCTGGCAAATACGATGAAACCCCATTTCTACTAAAAATACAAAAATTAGCTGGGTGTGCTGGCGTGTGCCTGCAATCCCAGCTACTCGGGAGGCTGAGGCAGAAGAATTGCTTGAACCCGGGAGGCGGAGGTTGCAGTGAGCCGAGATTGTGCCATTGCAATTCAGCCTGGGCAACAGAGCAAGACTCTGTCTCAAAAAAACAAACAAACAAACAAAAAAAAAAACACAGACCCTGGAGATACTTTTACTTTTGCTACTTACAGGTATGTGACTTTGAGCAAGATGGTTAACCTTGCTGTGTCTGTTTCTTCATCTGTCAAATGGGCTTCCAAATACCTGCCTCAGAAAGTTACTGTGAGGATTAAATGAGTTATGTGAGGTTTTGACAGTGCCTGGCACATGGTAAGTGTTACTAAATGTCAAACCTAACCTATGATGACTTCTGTAACCTAATTTCTTGCCTCCCCCAGAAGTTCTAATTCTAACCTTATCAACATGCTTTATGGGCCAGGTGAGGTAGCACACGTCTGTAATTCCAACACTTTGGGAGGCCCAAGTAGGAGGCTCACTTGAGGCCAGGAGTTCCAGACCACCTGGGTGACAAAGGGAGATGCTGTGTCTTTGAAAAGAAAAAAATTGGCTGGGTGCAGTGGCTCACGCCTGTAATTCCAGCACTTTGGGAGACCGAGGCGGGTGGATCATGAGGTCAGGAGATCAAGACCATCCTGGCTAACACGGTGAAACCCCATCTCTACTAAAAATACAAAAAATTAGCCGGGTGTGGTGGTGGGCGTTTCTAGGCCCAGTTACTCAGGAGGCTGAGGCAGGAGAATGGTGTGAACCTGGGAAGCAGAGCTTGCAGTGAGCTGATATTATGCCACTGCACTCCAGCCTGGGCGACAGAGCAAGACTCTGTCTCAAAAAAAAAAAAAGAGAAAAAAAAATTTAAAAATTAGCTGCGCGTGGCCACCAGTGCCTGCAGTCCTAAATAGGAGGCTGAGGCAGAAGGATTACTTAAGCCCAGAAGTTCCAGACTACAGGCCGGGCGCAGTGGCTCATGCCTATAATTCCAGCACTTTGGGAGGCCAAGGTGGGTGGATCATCTGAGATGAGGAGTTTGAGACCAGCCTGGACAAGTTGGTGAAACCCCATCTCTATTAAGAATACAAAAATTAGGGCTGGGCGCAGTGGCTCACGCCTGTAATCCCAGCACTTTGGAAGGCCGAGGCAGGTGGATCACCTGAGGTCTGGAGTTTGAGACCAGCCTGGCCAACATGGTGAAACCCCATCTCTACTGAAAATACAAAAAATTAGCTGGGCATGTTGGCAAGCACCTGTAATCCCAGCCACTCGGGAGGCTGAGGCAGGAGAATTGCTTGAACCTGGGAGGTGAGGTGAGATCGCGCCATTGCACTCCACCCTGGGCAATAAGAGTGAAACTCTGTCTCAAAACAACAACAACAACAACAACAACAACAACAACAACGAAAACCAAAAATTAGACAGGTGTGGTGGCGAGTGCCTGTAGTGCCAGCTACTCGGGAGGCTGAGGCAGGAGAATGGCGTGAACCCAGGAGCTGGAGGTTGCAATGAGCTGAGATCGCACCACTGCACTCCAGCCTGAGCAACAGAGTGAGACTCATTCTCAAAAAAAAGAAAAAATAAAAAGACTGTAGTGAGCCATTACTGTGCCACTGCACTGCAGCCTGTCTCTAAAAGACCCTGTCTCTTAAAAAAAAAAAAAAAAAGTGCGTTATTGGAATGTGCCATGATTCTTCTTGCTTTGCACAACTTCTCCCTACAATGCTTTTCCCTCACTTCTTCCCTGGTCAATTCCTACCTGTCCCTCAAGTCTCACTTAGAATTTGGGTATGGCCTCAGTTAGTTACTTTTTGTTTTCTTTCTTGAGACAGGGTTTCACTCTATTGCTCAGCCTGGACTGTATTGGCACAATCATGGCTCAGCCCAGCCTTCATCTCCCGGGCTTAAGTGATCCTGCCACAGCAGCCTCCCAAGTAACTGGAACTACAGGCTCACGCCACCGGGCCCAGCTAATTTTTTTTTTTTTTTTTTGAAACAGAGTCTCACTCTTGTTGCTCAGGCTGGACTGCAATGGCATGATCTTGGCTCCGCAACCTCCACCTCCTGGGTTCAAGTGATTCTCCTGCCTCAGCCTCCTAAGTAGCTGGGATTACAGGCATGCACCAACACACCTGGCTAATTTTGTATTTTTAGTAGAGATGGGGTTTCACCATGTTGGTCAGGCTAGTCTCGAACTCCCGACCTCACATGATCTGCCCGCCTTGGCCTCCCAAAGTCCTGGGATTACAGACATGAGCCACCACGCCCAGCCATATCCAGGTAATTTTTGTAGTAACAAGGTTTCACCATGTTTCCCAGGCTGGTCTTGAACTTCTGGGCTCAAGTGATCCCCGCCCCCGCCCCGCTCAGCCTCCTAAAGTGCTGCGATTACAGGCGTGAGCCACTGCACTTGGGCCACTTAGTTACTTTTTTCCTGAAGCCTATATCACTGTCTCCCCAAGTCTGGGTGAGATGTCCCTATATTTATCCTAGTGGCTGCCCTTATCATACAGTGTGTTATAGAGCATGAGGGTTTACAGTGGGCAGTGAATGCCCTGAGGAAGAAGCATTTGCAGTAAGGCTTGAAAAATGAGGAAGAGGCAGAGGATAGCTTGTACAAAGTCCCTGAGGTGGGAACTGCTGAATGGGGTACATTGCAGTGAGTGAGGAGGGGACAGGCAGGGGACGAGGTTGAAGAGCTGGGAGGCTCTGGTAAAGTGTTTAGACGCATCATCTCCCTGGCTCCATCGCCCCACCTATGGCCATGCAGGATGTAGACAGCTGAAAATCTTTACCTTGTGTCCCTGATCCCTATGCCTGCAATGTTCCCTGCCTTCTCTGATTAATAATAAAATTCCATTCATCCTTCAAGGCCCAGGTCCAAACTATTTACGAAACCTCCTTCCATTCTTTAGCAGGAATTAATTGCTCCCTTGTCTGAAGTCCACAGCACTAATCACATGCTGACTTGTATCTCAGCTAGCTGTTTATGCCAGTCTGCCCACCAACGTAGAGAGTTCCCTGAGGGCAAAGGCTCTTAGTCACCTCTGTAGCCATCTCCTGGTGTTTAGCAGGTACTCAATGTGACATTTACTTGACTAGTGGGTGGTGCTTAGTACTACTCATGGCAGAATAGAAGGAAAACAAAAATAGTAACAATTTATGCTCTATCACGTTTCCCCATTCATTACCTGATTTCGGCCTTCCAACAACTCTATGAGACAGATGGGACAGGCACTATTAGACCCATTTTACAGATAGGGTAGCTGAGGCCCTATGGCACACAGCTTATAAGTAATGTGGACTAAGTCTCAAACTTGTCCCCTTACTTCGGATTCTGTGCTAGGAATGGAATTAAACCAAACAGTATTTTGAAGCCATAATGGAAAGCGCTTTTCTGGGTGGACTAGGGAGAGATCTTTAGTCAGCTGTCAGGGGTTAACAGCAGCTCCATCAAGGAGGGCACAGGATTTCTCTCTTTGGCCCAAGCAGCTGGAGGAGTCCACAGCACCATCCTACAGCCCTGGAAGTTGGAGGAAACCCCAGCCCAAGAAAGAAGAGACTGGTGTTCGGGTCAGGTGGGTAAGATGACGTAAATGATGACTTGTGAGCAGAGGCCTGCCTCTGTTGCTATGACAACTGGAGCTTGACTACTTGGCCTTTGCAAGGTTAGCTGAGGCGGGTTCTTCGTTAATTCGAGATTAAGGAAGGATATTTAGCGGGGAAAGTGTGTGTGTGTGGGGCGGATTAAAGACGAAAGGAGTATATTCAACAATGACTGTTTAGCTCAGTGTTCTCCACCTTGGCAACACGTTACAATCACCTGCCACAATTTCCTGATGCCTAGGCTGCACCCCAGAATTAAATTAGAATTTCCAGGAGTGGGAACCAGGCATCATAGTTAGTTAAATCTGGCCAGGTGATTCCAATTGCAGCTAAAGTTGCAAACCCAGGTTTTAACTGGTAAGCGGCATTCTTGTGACCTTCCCAAGATGGCGGCCACTCAACCGCTTCCGCCTTTACGTGGGCAGGCAGGGGGCAGGCTTCCCAGGGGCGCATGCGTCCCGCGTCTCTTCGCTCCCTGCTCCCTCCTCCTTTTTCCCCCGCCTCCATTTTGTTCGCGGACGCTGGGGACGGTGGGAGCAGATCCATTTCCGGGTTGGCAAAAGGGGCGGCGGCGGCGGCGAGAAAGAGAGCTTGCCGGGGGGCGAGCCGGACAGGACGAAGCCGGAGCGTAGGCGGCGGAGGATTCGCTCCCAGAGCAGCTGTGGCCAGGTCGGAAAGAGGCCGGGGCGGCTGGGTCAGTCGCTGAAATGACC